GAAATTTTCTGGTTTTCGGTTTTGAATTGAGATATCAAAGGTTCTAATTTAATTCCTTCCTCATACCAACTTTTTCTAGGTTCGAAACCCTTCTCTGTCTTTACACGGAAAAAGTTAAAGTGAATTTGATTGGGGAGAGAATAAAGAGGAAGAGGAAATATCCTATTTACTGTTTATCATTTCCTCTGTCCATTAAAGGTATGATCAATTAACAGGTTGGTCGTTTGTCACGATTTTTCCTTAGAAATATAAATAATAAAATGTTAGTATGTAATATCAAAAACATTTGGTATTTATCTTTGCATCTTTAGGTTTTTGTTGAGCTAATTTAATGATCTAAATTAACTTTAAATATGCTTAACACGTGTTGGCTACGAGCGGTGTGAATAAAAAGCGTGTTAACATCTCGCTAGATGAAATAAAAATAAACTCGTTTCTAGGAAAACAAATCTTATAGTTTATTATGATGATAAAGACATAGTAAAGTTGAAGCTAACAAATCTAGCTCTACAAATATTTAGTGATAGTTAACAACCATAAATTATAAAGTTAATAAACTATTGATGTTTATTAGAATAATAATAAATTCTATGTACGAAATGTAATCAATAAATCAAGGTAAAATAAATTACAATCGCGTCAGTTTCTTTGTTAGTGTAATACAATGATAACCAAAGTATTCATTGTGATCTTACACAGTAGATATAATTTAATTTTTCTTATATTTAGTGTAAAAAAATTAAAATAACAAACCAGTTCCTGAACTTATAGACGTTTTAGACGTCAACAAGTTTCCTCGTTCCTAAGCCTGATTTGCGAATTACATAACATAGATTTTTTTTAATAATAATATAAGCATCAAATTATGTAACTTATACGCCAAGAACTCCATATTTTTAGGTCTACCGCCAGATTAATTAGCGTATTCATTTCACTATTATCATGCAACGCATGATAATGAGAGTTCAAACGTAGATAACTGACAAGGGCAACCATCTACCATTTGTTAATGAGTATATTGTATAATTTTATCAGAGTATTCCGAGTAAGAAGTGCACAAAGCTTTATCACGTACCTCCCGCCAGAATGCCGTGACGAACTTTATAGGTGATATCTTGAAAGGAAATGTTGAGCGAGTCTTCAGACGACGACGTCGAAGCTGTCTCTTGAGACACGGATTGATTGTCGACAACCATGTTGATAACTTTCACTAGCACCAAATCACGGAAGGTCACTACAGCGTTAAATCAAAGAGTTTAGGTTCCATTGCGTTGTCATACAGCACTGTGAACGTAAAACGTAAACAAAGGACGACGCGTCTCAAGAATACAGCGACAGACTCTTGCGCGTAGACGACCGACGTCTAGCACCACACTGGACTGGACGTGGTCTCTGCGCGCGCGGCCCTCTACGTTACAACAATTATCGGTCGTTATCCCCACCACGCGCAGTCAGCTGCGAAGCGCTAAGTAGCTGATTTCTGTTATCTTTCGTAAATTCACTACACAATTAAATAGTAACATTAGAAAAAAAAACAGTTCGCCTCACTTAAGTAGCTTACGATTAGTTACGGTAGAACTATTTTAAGTAAACAATATATATAATTACCCTATTAAATATTAAGATTATTCTTCCTGTTTTTGAAAAGATGATTTGAATAATTAGAATAAAATCGTTTATAAAAATGTTTATTGATTTCTACGGAAAGATGGTAGAGTCAGTTCATCAATGGTAACGCCTAAAACCAACACCTGTTTCCGAATGGAATGATACGACCTCAAAGAAGACAGTGAAGTATCATTGTGACTTTGATTTGGTACACTCATCCAATTATGTCTCTTCACACTCTTCTCCTTCTTAGTGAGTTCCAATAAGAGATTTTCTTATTAAAAAGGGTGGAAAATGATTGAGTTAAAGCTGGTTTTTGGGAACGAATACCAAATACTATTTTTTTCTGTACATCTTCTTTACTGTTTATTAAGGTATGAGTACGCATTAGCAATAATATAGCTTGTTGCAAATGTCTACGAGCAACGGTCACTTATGTAACTCGTAACTCACACAAACCAAACAAACATCTTTGCTACATACAAATATTACTCGTGTATTCAATCGATACCGAGTTGTAAAGTTCAACGGTCACCGTTGAGTCACAGCGCAAAAATGAACTAATTGCTCTCTTTGTTACAACATTGTCATGTAATGTGCTTAGACATTTTAATTACTTTAAGGTCTGTTTGAATGCGAGTTTAGAATGTGAAGGAAAATTAAAATAATATAACTTGTGTCTTGTCCAACGGTGGTTTCCTCCTCCGTCCCTCAAAAGGCCACGACTTGGATGTTATAAGGAATATCAATTTTATAATTAAACTCCAGTTGGTTGCATTGCTAAAGCGCCTGCTTGAGTTTATTCTGAAACGATGCATGGCAATTAAATTGCCATGAAGAGTTGTCAGTTTGATAAATATTTTTAAATCCAGCAGGCGCAGACTCAGGATTATTTTGAAGGAGGGTATGTATTGTATTCAATACCATGATCACAAAGAAGAGAGGCAAGTTAAAAAAAATGTCTATATTAATAAAGAAATACACTATTATCAGACTATTGCAAATTCTTCAATCGGCGATGTGTATTATATAACTAGTAATCAAAAAGAAAATCTGTAGATAGTACGAACACGATTCACGACCAAAGTATATTTTCATATCAAAAAGTTGTTAAATTGGTCACGAAATTGTACGAGTAAAATATGTTAATTTACTAGACAACATTACAGGTTTCAATAACCGTGGAATTAATTCTTTGAACATTATCATTTGCATAATATGCTTTTTAAATTAACGAATGTGTTAACCCTATTTCAGTGGATAATAATTTAATTGGAAACCGCGTTTTGATGATAAACTACTTTCATTATTTTAAAGAGTAACAAACAGAGTTAAAAAATGGTGTTACCAATTTTTGTAATAAAATACTTTAAAAAAATAATATATCAGGCAATTCTGTGAGAAAAAGCGGTAACGCGGCACGCCATCCTTGACGTTCCGCCTCCTGGAAGGACAACAAGTGAATTGCGGAGATTAGCTTGGCCATCGCCAAATGGAGACCCTTGGTGCCTGCTATCTGCCTACCTTTTGGGTTACTGGCATGAGTTATGGCGTTGTTGAGATAATATAAAGCGTAACTTGACATACTGGAAGATTTACTTTGGGATTCAACATTAATAATAAGCGATGATATTTTACACTAAAAGTTCTTTGAACTACCACACGTTCTTTACCAATTGAACTCGTTCTTCCTATCAAAAACAACAAGTTTGTCAAGCAACATTTCTCGTTTCTAAGCATAAATTATGCATTTAAGATAGTTTACCTATTTATTTTATGATAAATATTATGATTTTTCAACTGTGCTAGACGTCAGCAACTATGTTACACTAATTGGAAGGCTCACCCCGAGAATAACGACCACACATACAGGCGTAAAGTGGAAGTAATACCGCGTTTTTCTGATGACTGCATCCTGTGAAAATGTTATTAATCAGGAATAAATCGTCTCTACAGTACGATCTGTTAAAAATGTTAAAGGAAATGGGTGAAATAAAACACGATAACACGTATTAAATTTATATTAAAAAATAGGGCTTAGTATGCGATATAGTTAAGTACTAGAGAAATAATCGCTTGTCACATTTACAAGTCAAGTTACTGCCTGAGTTGTACCAGATATATGTCTAGAAATTATTCGATAACTTGTCTGATGTTTTTGTTAAATATTTCCTTCTTTTTATTTTGAACAATACCATTAAATCAATACTTTACTTACCATAATCCAAGCTGAAACTTTTTATAATCTTTTACGACAAATTTCACATGTTCTAATTTTTTTATCTCACAATTTTCACAAAATACTTATAGAAAATACATTATAGAAAATAGATTAGTAGCAAAATATTTCTTAACCTTTGGTATGACATTAGAGAGATAATTAAACTTCAAAATATTTTATTCTATGTCTTTCGGTATTTAAATATCAAAGTAAATTACTAAAAACAACTATATTTATTTACTTGGAAAGTGTAAACAACAATACTTTGACTTTCTAAGGAGCCTTTAACTTTGGTTTACATATATCAAGATATTCTTTTCCTAAATAAGTACTTCTTTATTTTCAATAACTCATAAAACTTACACTTTAACATTAACTTAAATAATACTTAAAAATTGTCCACCTTATATATTAGCACTTATTATATAACTGGATATAAAACCTGTTTTATTATTTATCTCATACTGATACAAAGTATAACCCTGTGTTTCCACTGCCAAAAACTAGTTCAAAAACAATTCATCAAACATCTCATTGGACTGGATAAAAATAAAATATGTTCGGTAGTGAAAACTTATGTGTAAAATGATTGTCAACACACTCTTAACTGGGTTGTCAGGACTAATCTTTATCAAAATATTCTAATTTTACATACGCTTTCTTTTATTCAAATACAAAAACAAATATACAACAGTTTTAATATAACAATTTAATTTTTATTTCTCTGGTCTAACTACTATTGAGCCCTTTTCTAAGATATGCCAACGATTCCTAAAATATACGTCAAATTTATCAAATAATTGCTTTTCGGTCATATATTTGGTTACAGTTAAAAAAGAAACATCAGTAATCAATGTCTCTTGACAAGTCCATTCTTATCACTCTCTTGTTCTTTTACAGTTTGGGTTGATTTTATTTTAATAATGACAATTTTAGTTCATCTCTTAAACCAATAATCATGGGTTTCTGAGACTAAAATCCCCGTTTAAAAATATCGCCATCCCTTCTATAATCTTTGAAAAACAGATATAACAACATGTTTAAAATGGGAATTTTGGTCTTAGAAATCTACAAAATAACGATACCAGCGTCAATTATTGTCCATATTATGAAATATTTGTTCTAGTTTATTGTGTTATCTGTGGTTCCTATCAAATGTCAACTGTATAACAACAATATTACACTGAATTTAGTTATAAAAGTGTCTTGAAAATTAACTAACTTAAGGCAACAAATTTTCTCTACTCAAACCTACATTGTATCAAAATTAACTAACACCACTACAATGTCTTAATTTATAATAATAATAATTCAGTCGCATTTACTGCAGATCTAATAAGATTTTTTTTTATTTCATCTTTTATTTAGTCGATACCAGAGGGCGCCACATGTGAGCAGGTGCATCAGGACTGTTGTGGATAATACCAGCGCCATGTTGCCACCCACGTCAACGTGTGCCATGTCCATTTCCACTAAAAACTTGCTAGGTGTTATGTAGTGACAATATTCTGAAAGATAAAAATAGACTTATGTTGAAATAAAAGCTAGCAACTTTCTAACTTACTAATATTATAAATGATAATGTTTGTTAGAAGATATCTCCAGAACGGCTGTAAAGATCTTGTTGAAATTTAGCATAGATGTAGAACATAGTCTGGAATAATACATAGGCTACTAATTAGGTTTTTTTTTAATTCCACGCAGACGGAGTCGTAGGCGACATCTAGTAAATCATATTTACAATTATATCCTTGTTTCGTCCATTACTATTATTTATTTTTATATAATAATAACTATAAATATACGTAATAGGTTCATTTCGTAACAACTTCTGTTTAATGTTCATTTAATAGCTTTTTATAAAACTTTGTCGTTGGGTCTCACATAAATGTATAAAAGTATTAGTAAAAATTATACAATCACCTTTTGCACAATGAATCTTGGTCCTATTAAAGCCATAAACGGAATGAACGGCGACGTGGAAACCGGCTCTGAAGTAGGAAATATGGTGCAGCCAGCGGAAAGGATATGGGGTGTCCGACAGCGCCAGACAGAAGCCGAAAACGGAGAATAAACACGCTAGTACTGGACCAATGAATACTGCAATCTGAAAGTGATGCAATTTATTTGCGTGAATATGGACAGATATTTTAAGTAATATTATAAGATAATAGAATAAGTTAATAATAAGAAATAACAACTGATACTTTAAAATATTAAAATCTTTATAGACCAGCTATCTCTCGATTAAGTCATGTACTTTTGTATTAACCTTGGTAGGTGTAGTTGAACCTATGAAATATCCCCACGCTTGCGCGCACAGGGAAGTTGCTACGATGGTGGCAAGGAATAGTGTGGCCCGTGTTGGCTCCAGTGGGTTATCTGTTAGCCAATACGACAGTACTACGTATGAAACGCATGAGATCATCTGAAAACAAATAGAAACAAATGATTTCCACTTAGTAAGAATGCTTACAAGAAGGATTTATATGTGTATGACATAATAATTTAATTTGATTGTTAATTTTACCTGAAAGGGTAATTCAACAGCCAATACTGAAAATATGTACGGTCCCAGGTTATACCATCGATTGAAGTATTCTCCTTTTAATATATCCATTTCAAGTGGAACTGAAAGAAAAAAAAATAAAACTTAATTTGTGTTGTTTAAAAGTTTATTTATGTCAAATTTTATTGGCCTGATCATTTTATTTCCGCAATGTTTACATCATAAACATTGATTATGAAAATGTAGTAGGAGTTTTCAAACTATTTCGTCACTTATCACAGAGTATACTTACACGATAGTGTCACGGACATCTTTCCAGTGTAAACGACGAGTAGCATAGATCCATACAAGTAGACATAGTTGCCGAGCACACTGCTCGCTTCGCTGCCGACTCCGAAGTACAAGTAACCAAAGATAAGCGCAATGACCACGTGTGCCGCCACTCTGTACATGAATAACGACTGAAACACAAAAAAGATTCGATGTTATGTTAAATCATATTAATCGCCCCACTCAGAGTTTTCTAATAGGTAATTATGTAGTGCTTTAGTGTGATTTTTATGCTAAATGTAAACCAGATATTTCAAAACTTTTCTTATAGTAAACTCGCTATCCTCCACTTTCAGCGGGTCTTTCGTGGATCTCAGTGTGTCTATTTACACCAACGAAGTCTGTTAGAGAATATTAAAGAAATCGTGTAGTATTGTTTTTGTTTCAACAGAAAATTCATACATAATGGTACTTGCATCAATGTAATTGATACTTTCATGGAATGTTAAGTGTATTGAAAATATGCACGTATGTTAATGTGTTTATCGTATTATACTCATGTTACCTCTGTTAATCAGTTAAAAGGTCAATTGTCAACGTTACAGAAAATTAACAATATAAAACGTGCATGTTACTTCGAGTAAAACGGTACGCGTGTTTATTTTATCCGAGCTTCTACTGAGGTAACCTTGCAAAAGCACTCGTGATAGGATAATAATACTTTAGAGACCTGCTGTCATTAATGGAAAATATTTATATAAAATATATGTACTTATGTCCATCAGTGCAAAAGAAGCGCGCCAATAGCCAAATGGTACGGATTTCCGAGCACGAGGTCGGGGAATGGAATCCCGCTTTTGATTTATTCGATTATTGTCGTAACCATATCTTATCACAAGCCTAGAGCTTACATGGAATGGTACAAGAAATATTAGTAAATTAACAATAAACTTCTAATATTTAAAATAAAAACAAAAATAAAAGATGTAGTAAAAGTTTAATAATTGTGTACCATTTATTAAGTCTCCGACTAGGATTGTTCTTAATAATTTAAAGTTAATTTATTTTTCGAACTTTTTAAAGCTGACAGTTTAAAAATTTCAATAAAAGATCCGAATAAAAACTACTTTTTATTACTGCTTTATTGTAAAAGTCTTTATACTTACGTAATTTCTGGTCGTCATCAAATAGTTTCTATAAAGTAATACCCAGGTTTGACGAAAATTTCCAGACGGTCTATAAATATTTTTGGAATAACTCCGTTGATACTTGGCATTGCTTTGTAGAGGTTTTTGCTTGAGTTTCTTGTTTATGCCTACAATAAATATATTTAGAGATAAAAATTTTAGGATTATTACAATTTTTTTTTAATATTTTCAATTTCAATTAGTAATTAGAACAAATTATTGGAAAATTAAAAAAAAATATCGAATATTATCATTATTGAATGAGTCCAGAGACTTACTTATGTGTGCAGAGTCTTGTAAGCTGACTTCTTCTAAGCTGGCTTCAGCAATGGGTTCAGGTTTAAAATATGTTATAGTTTTGGCAACTTTCACGAGGTCCACTTCGTATTCCCCAGACGCTACTTCCATTACTGGAATAAACACACATATTAATCATGTCTTTTTCATTACGCCTATGGAAAACCATTACTGAGTTTTTGCTAACCGTTTTACTCAGGGTTAATATACATTAATTACATTTAATTTCATAATGGTTAGTATTTAATGTTACAAAATATTTTATCGGATTAGTATAATGTCATACATAATTTTAATGTTTTAAAGGTCAACCTATTGTACGTAAAATTCCAAAAATGTTCACACATAATTTATTTTGTTCAACAAAAACAAAAACTCCTGAAAGATGGAATAAATAAAATAAAAAAAGTTAATGATAGTTATGACGCAAACGCGTATCATTTATATTGTTTGTGATGAGTTTAGTTAAGTTAATTCTCAGAAGACTATATTAGAATAACAATAACTAGTCATTCACGGAAAATAATAATTTAAATTATAATACAATCATGACCATTATTTAATTAAATCGGTACCATTTTAACTCATTTGTTCCATTATGTAATATCCAAAGGCGATATAAGCCAATAGTAAGTAGCAAACAACGTAATATTAAGAATATCTCCAGAGAGTATAGGTATATATATTGCCTTTAACTCCTACAGATTGTCGCCACGTGATGTACATACTGTTAGAAAGAAAATCCGACACTGTGCCGGTTTACTGGCACAACACTAGCCTTAATAAAATGTCGACGTCTATGTCCCCTAACTAATCATTCTGACACTTGACTTTGTAATGAAAGCGCGCCATTCACGCCAAAGGATTCTAACTAATAATGTCTTAAAATACGAGTACATTCATTTCTGTTAACCGCCGTATCAGACTTCAAATGTTATTTATACCGTTTTCACACAATACGTCTTATGAAAATGACTTACAGAAATCAGCAGGGTTATGGTAAGCCGGACACCTGAGTCCAGCACTGGACAATGCAGGTAGGAGATGTTGCCTAGGTCCCGAATATAAAGTCCTGCCGTTCGCTAGACAGTACACGGAGTCAATCTTCTCAAACAGTAATGCTGACGGTTGGTGTATCGTCGCGATCAAAGTTCTGCCGCCGCGTGCCAGACCGTTCAATAATGTTATCAGGGATGTCGATGCTGAAGAATCTAAGCCCCTATTAAATAAAAAAAATGTATTTTATAATATAGTGGAATGGTTTGACCTTAGCGTCTTACAAAATAAACACTGAAGATCTAAAGGACCCCAGTCTGAGTTAGACTTTTTAAAGTGAAAGCTTTGAAAGCAGAAAGACTAGTTTAAATTAAAACACAACGTTTTTAATGCTTTTCTATATCTTTTTTCTAAAAAGTTTGCCTTGCATCACCAAAAAGCTATAAAGATTCCAGTAAAAAGAGAAAAAAATTGCAATATTTTCCTTAAGATTTAAAAGTCAAAGGGAAACATAAAACACGAAAGTCTGTAATTCTACATCTCAAGGTCATGGGTAAGAGTGGGTTATGTTGTGTTGTTTATATCCAATTTTTCTGGAAAAAATACAGTGAACAGTGGAAATACCCGGTTGTCCTTCCATAAAGACAATCGCTGCTTTGATTTAATTCAACGTAAACATGATAATGTTTGATTCCGATAACTTAACCGCAAACAATATGACAGTTGAATTTGTAATAAAAAAAATTTAAGCTCCTACTTGCGCGCGTAAGCAGGGATCTAGTATTCCTTTGTTGCACTGTTCTTACTCAATTTATATGAATCTGCTCCGAACCGGTTCAAAACTTCAATTCATATGTAGACTTAAATCATTGAGTTACCGCTGAACAACTAAATTGGCAGCTCGCGGCTCATCGCGATGTTTTATAAATATGTGAGCCGTGAGCTCTAACCTGCCTGTGTGACTCGCAGTTTTCAACTCGAAAGGCAAATAATATAATAAGTCTATGCATTTTCAAATTTAGCTAAACTGTGAGCCGGGTCAGTCCACAAATGTGAACTGCGAGTTACTCATGACTATTCATAACACAGTTCTATAAAATCAAAGGATAACAAAAATCTTACATTACTTTAAATGTTTTGCTACGGGCATCCATGGAAACCCTTAGCGTAAATGTAATGAGATAAAGAACACTAAAGAATTGCTGAAGTCTCAACTCTCGGTGTCGCAGTAGATGTCTAGCTAGTTGAATTAACTTCAATAATTTCTTTTGTCTTAAATAACTACTCACGTGGTAGGCTCGTCAAGGAACAATAACGAGGGATCAGAGAGCAGTTCTAGAGAGACAGCCAGCCGTCGCTTTTGTCCCCCGGATAGGTCGCGGCACATGGTCAGCGCCGCTCCACTCAGGCCCAATAGCGCCAGGATCTCGTACACCTAAATAATACATATTAATAATTCCTAGAGATAGTCTTTACAGAGTGTTGGCTTACTTAAGTTATTAAAGCAATACCTTGTGGAACTCTAGGCAGCGCCATCTAGTTTGGGCACATGTGAAATTTATTTTTATCTACCTTACCCACCAAATTACTATTTTTTTTTTAAACGAAATAGATCGGAAATAAATAATCTCTAAATCAAGTTTTCTTTTAAACATTAACCATATGCATGTGACGTTGAGAAAGTATGGTGCAATGCAGAGCGAAGTCATCGAAATTAACTTTTGACCTGAATACTATTGTATCGGCTTTAACGCAACAATTGTTCAAAGTCTTCGATTTTGATTACTAAGTTATACTATTTTTGTCGCCTTTCCAATATATATATATATATTGGAAAGGCGACAAAAATAAAAATAAAGATTTAGAAATTATATATATATATATATATATATATATATATATATATATACATAATTTCTATTTATAATTTCTAAATCTTTATATTATATAATATATATTAGACAAAATTTAAGCACAATAAAATGCATAAAACTTGCGCACTTTCAGTACATCTTGTCTGTAGATGAGTGATCTAGCTTTCTCTTACTTTCTCCTTCCTCTCGTGCGCGGTGAAGTCGGCCAGCTTAAGTGCGGCCGCTAGAGCCATTGATTCGTACACGGTGAGATGGACTCGGAGGTCATCGTGCTGGCGAATGTACCTCGCGCCACCGCGGCTTGTCGACTGCGAGGCGCAAGTCGACACACCGTTGACCTTTATTTCGCCTTTCGCACCTTTTGTTCTGAAAATACAACGGACCTACTTACGATATACATTTAGATGTATAATATTTACTTGTAGAAAGCGGTAACGGCTTTATAACAATTATAATATATTGTCTAGTAATACAGTAGTATGGAAAGATTCTGAGTAAACTTCGAAGGCCGGAAGGAGGTGGGTAATTCCTATAGCACAAATATATGTATGTTTTATAAAAAGTAATAAAAACTGTATTAGTAGGTAGCCTATGTGTTCTTTCAGACTATGTTCTACATCCATGCTCCATTCTGGAGATACTTTCTAACATCCATCCACCCATCCATCCAGCCTGCAATGACTTTATATATACTTTTATTGTAACTGTGTTTATTGTACTTTGTTTAATAAATAAATAAAAAATCTAAACTTTTGCATTTATATTATAACTAGCGGACCCGACAGACGTTGTCCTGTCTATTAAAATAAAAAAATAAAATTAAAATTCGAATATTATTTAAAATTTGACACTGCGATGGTAGCGCCGTCTGTCGGATCCAATGTAAAACATTCCAAAATCAACAACTACTAATAAATTAAAAATTAATTAAAAAAACATTGTCCAGCGGACAAAATTGTGAATCTAAACAATTCCTAGATCCCCTTGAACACACACAAAAAATTTCATCAAAATCGGTCCAGTCGTTTGAGAGAAGTTCAGTGACATACACACTCACAGAAGAATTATATATATAAAGATATAATTAAGATTGTCCAATTTCCGTAGACTTTAATGGATATTTTAGACCACTGTTTATTAATTTAGATCAATTACAAAAAACCTTTTCTGATTTAGTGAGGGATATTAAAAAAAATATTTTTAAAAATCCATTTTGGTATGTGAAAATTAAAAGAGTTAAATTGATAACGATTGTTCGAAATTTGATTGTTGACTTACGAGTAACCTGCTAGGATGTTGAGCAGCGTGGTCTTGCCGGCGCCCGAGGGACCCATGATGGCTGTCAGCTCGCCCGGCTTGAAGCACCCGCTCACTCCACGTAGGATGTGCTTAGGTTCTTTATGAAAAAAAAAGATGGACCTAATATAATCATACATTTCTAATTCTAAAAAACATTAAAAACATGCTTAGCGGGTCACTATGTCCCTGTTGACCTACAGGCCAATAAGAAATTAGACTCTACCTGTCTCCCGTGGGATAAAAAGCTTAGTTGTTCTTCCAGGCTATTTTCGAGATCTTTGCAAAATTATAGCAAGATCTATGCAACCACTCTCGAGATATCCTTCAACTAGTATGTATCCATACAAACATGCGCATTTATAATATTAGTCGATTAATATTGTTATTGATACTTGCACAATTACGTAGTTCATTGTTTTAAATTCACTTAAACGAATGACGAATGTATTGATAACTCACAAATTGTTATTTGAACTTTATATCATCTTAATTAATATTATTCTAAAATATCTGAGAAGAAATTCAAAGATATGTGTGAAGTCAACCAACCCGCACTTGGCCAGCTTGGTTGACTATGGCCTAGTCACCCCTAACTTACGGTAGGCTCCGAGCCCCTCGCTGGGGAGTTTACATTTTTATGAGCCTTTATTTATTAAACTTATTTTTAATTTAGAAATAAAATCATTCGAATTTCAGCGAAAACAACAAGTCAGTAGTTTTCGTGCAATTAAAATTTTAGTATTTGCCATAAATATTTTTTTCTACATTAGTTAAAATTACAAAGTTCGCGTTAATATTGATTACAGACTATACTGTACGTATTTTTATTTCTCAATAAATGTATACTATGCATATTAAAATGCTTGCTAACTATTTGTTATAGCAAATTTACGTGCAACGTCAATCGTGAGCTTATTTTGCATTTATTAACAATAAGAATGCATATTTAATTATATTCGTGATGCAACATTAAATTATTAACGTCATTAAGCAATCGATTGTGGCAGATATATTAAAGGAAAATTTATTTTGTTTGGCAGATAGACATATCGAACAGTAGCACTAGGGAGGCAGAGGCGACATTGTCCTGGTCGGTTGATGTTGAGTGGACATTCCGATATCCGCACGTCGTTAACTTATCGTATCGTTTTTCTAACAAATTTATATCTTTATCCCGCTTAATTGTCGATGTCGAAGCGGCGGCGAGTAAACTAGAAGACGAGAAGTTGACTAATTCTCTACAACCTTAAATATGTTACTTATAATGCGCTTACAGTGCCTCTAAATATGTACATACTAAAAATTGGCCAAAATTATGATTTCCAAGTAATCACTCCTATCTGAAAGTAAAACCGTAAGTTTAATAAAGACATCGTCAATTACTTAAAACCTCTTTAGAAAAACAATGACTGCAATAAAATTTAATTATTATACAAACATACGGACTCCTTTATGTGATTTATTCTTTCTAAAAAATGTAATTATTTCGCTTCTGCCACATCTAATCCCAGATGCATTTTTAAATTATTATGTTTATAATAATTTATACTCTTTTTCTTTTCATTTATTGGCATTATTTTAGGGCACTTGCACATAAGTCTTCCAAGACATTGCCGTACGATTGTACTACTATAGTGAGACGGTATCGAACATAGAATACTAAACTTCAGACGCATCAGTTGACATTTTGACGTCATAATGTAATCTACGCACGGCCGCCAATATGCCATTGACCATGGACTCTGCGTAGTCTTACATCATGTTACGGTAAGTCTATAGTGCTCCTAATAGTTTTAAATAGGATTTGCTAGATAAATTCAAAGGCGTTCAGCTGGTTATAAAAATAACTAGTTAACCGTCCTTTGATGACGTCATAAGTCAGATACTAATTAGCTAAAATGTTTATTATATTCTTACAAAAAAAAAACAGAAACCGCAATAATTAATGATGTTAGAGTAATCTTATGATTAGTCTTATGGTCATGGTAGATGTTGTTGGGTTTAATATGATAACAGGAAAAACATGAATTACTAAACAATCAACACACGTCTAAAAATAATAGAACGATGTATTTTACGAAAAGCATAAACGAAAAACTGTATGAAAATTTAAACATGTTAATCAAAGTCGCAAGCACAGGCTGGTAACATTTTAACTTGAGTAGGAATATTAAAAATCGATTAATTTATGCAAATGGCGTGAGTTACAATCGAGTTGTCATGTTGTCCACATGCGCTTTATTAACGGACATACTACTAGATTTACACGTCGCGTTTGCGGAACCTATACTTATGTCTTCAATTTGTGCTTTGAACAATCACAGCTTAGGAATTGCACAATTTTATGTCATTATACTTTAATTGTCAAGCCATTCGCTATTGCTTTTGACATATAATTAGATGCGCTTGTTAAGTTTGATGGACAGGCAAACGTAAAACACGAAGCATAAAGTAGTTGTGTCATTTTCTTTTGTTATAATAAATTATAATTAAATTTGAGATCGTAAAGTTGTAGCAAAAAATAGCATATTTTTCATCTGTATAACGTCTACGAATTAAATTGAATTCATGAGTTTTTATTTTGTTATTTCTCTAACCGAATATCATCATAAAAAGAAAGAAAAATTGTACAATTTTTGAGTAAGAATAATAAATGCAGATTGATATAATTCACTGCACGTTAAACGTATTTCGTTATTTTAACGCATATAGTGCGCGGGTATATGAAACCGAAAGACAAAAGCTAATAATTTATAAGATTTTATTAGAACGCACTGACAACTCAATGATTATTTGCTATTGTGTTTCCGTAACATTATTTCCATGGTTCCGTCCGTCTTATTACACTTCTTAAAGACCAAATGCAAATGTACAGATATTTTTATTTAAAATGTAATTTCATTTACTTGATGAACAATATGATAATAAATTCAAAATCTTAAAGCAATTTACAATAATTTTTAGACTTATAATATGCTAGCTCAGATTAGAATAGACGTTTGTCACAATCCGCCGGTGATACTTCTTGATTGTCACATACCTTTGCATTTTTTATTCAATTAATGATTACGTTACGACTATTTTGTCATATTCTTCATGATAGAATTCGTGCCGGTTTTGCCACTTTTCCACACCATGCAACAGTTGTAATCTACACGTGATATACTCGAAGTAAATGTCTATATATGGCAGTTAAGTTTCATAATACATTGTGAAACTTAACCTGTCGTTTATGCCCTACCTTTTAGTAAGGTAACTGGAGTGATAGTCATTCTAAATTCTACTAGTCTGAATGAGATTCACAGATTATATAATTATGAACGTCTGCAGAAAAAATACTTATTATTGCATTCAAAATCTTTTAAAAGAGACTCCGTAGATTAAGTAATAATACTTTTACATTTAACGACTTTCAGGAAGTTAGTGCAGTCATTTTACCAATCAATTCGAAATTTGAAAGTTTTTAAAGACATAGTCGTTTCACTTTTGTTAAATAGTATATCTAACGTTGAATAATGTCTTTAAAAATTTAAATACGGTAGCATGCCTTAGTTGTGTAACACGTAAGTTTTAGTAAGAAATTTATAATCGACGTTTTTTTACAATAATGATAGGAGGAAGTAGGTTGTTAACAAGGTACAATACTAAAAACGGTGCGCAACAATTTAATTACAGAATAATCAATTTCCACTACTGCAATAACGTACCTAAATTGTTAATATCGTTGCGTGAAATTAGAATTGTAAATAAACGGGTTAACAGCATTTGATAAGTGCAGCCGTATTACTGACATTTCCACTGTAAAAGCAAGAATAATAGACAAATGGAAATGCATCGAAATAATTTATTATGTGGCAATTGGGCAGTAGTGGCGTTAGAGTAGGGCAAGGTGGGCGACTGCCCAGGGCGCCGGGCATAAGCTGGCGCCGCAGTCATCATACATAATAATCAAGAGGCCCCTGTCTGACACCAAAAATAATAGGGCGCCTCAAAAATGCCGCCCAGGGCGCCCAAAATGCTAAAACCGTCCCCGCTTTTGCGATATGTAATAGTTGGCCCCAAGATCAGATATATGTTGTTATTTTTTACATATTGTATTATGTTGACTATTTTTTAATAATTACTTTGAAATATTAAATATACATGAATCTAAGTTTACGAAGAACATTAAAGATTAATTTATAGTTCTTACTGCGAAAAAATTGCTTTGTATTATATATTAATCATACGTTGTGATTGTTTTATTTAATGTTCTCAATGTAGCGCGAAATAATTTTATTTCATATCATATTTCTTATTTATATTGAAGCTTATATGATATACTAGCTGTCGCCTGCGACTCCGTCCGCGTAGTTATATTATATAAAAAAACTTAATTAGTGTAGCCTATGTGTTGTTTCAGACTATGTTCTATACGTATGCCAATTTTAATCGAGACCCGGTCAGCCAGTGTAGAGATATCTTCAAACACCCATCCACCTATCCACGTCACATCCATCTAAACATTCGCATTTATAATATTAGTAAGTTAATTACAAAGTAGCCTTTTAAAGCATAAATTCGAAAAAAAAATTAATAAATAGTATTCTACGTCCGTCTCCTGGCTCTAAGCTACCTCCTCACCAATTTTCAACCAAATCGGTAAAGCCGTTCTTGAGTTATAAATAGTGTAACTAACACGACTTTCTTCTATATATAAGATTATTATGGACTAGACAGACTAGGCGCTCGCGACTCTATAGGCGCGAAAGAAAAGGTAGCCTATAATATGCCCGCGTACAATAGCTACCTTCCTATACGAGTTCCGTCAAAATAAAGAAAAGCAACGTCAATTTGATTAGAATATAAAAGTATGTAACAAGAAAGCAGAGGTTTTAATTGTTAACATAGTAAGTTTTGGGATTACGGTAGATGGGACTAGAGTAGAGTTAGATTAATTTTGTGTACAGAAAATAAAGTTCCCCTAGAATCCTACTAGTTTATAGTTTAGCAAAATCTAAATTTAATGACCTAATTATCATAAAGTTAGGTTAGGTTACAGTAATGATATGGAAATGAATTTGCGGACACTTTCTACATTTTATTAAATAAAAATTA